CAATCTTACTCGGCGGATCACCTCTACGGCAAATCTCCGGTAAGAACATTTGGCACCCACCGTGGAGCCGATCAAGACAGCTCTTATCGGCCACGCTTATGGTATTCACTAGAAGCCATAGCAGACACGCAACAGACGACGCAGATCACTCAACTACCATGGACAACGAAGCCACATTGAGGAGATTGATCGACCAGGTCGAACAGATGCGGCAGCAACATGACGCCGATCTGCGAAACATGCGTGCCCAACACGAAACTTACCTAGCGGCGATGCGGGCCGCCAATGAAGCTGATCTAGCGGAGCTACGCGCTGAAAACGAGCGGATTCGCGCCCAGCTCCCTCGACGCCCCTCTGATCATCCTCCTGAGGCGAGCAACCTCCACGAGGAAGAAGGAAACTCGGTCTCTCAGCCCCGAACTGCGACTAGGGCACCGACTCCACGACCTGCCGCGCATCGATCTCATGTTCTAACGAACAAGTCGGCCCATGAAGTCAGCAAAGCCCCAACTCATGTCACAAGGGGTCAGGCAACCTTCCGCCATCATCCCTTTGTGGACGGCATCATGGAGACACCACTCCCTCAGGGGTGGAAGCTTGTCCACCTCGATCACTATGATGGCATGATGTACCCCGATGAGCACATCGACCTGTATACGACACAGGTGAACCTCTACACTAACAATGACACTATTTTATGTAGGGTTTTTTCGACCTCATTGAAGGGGGCCGCGCTCAACTAGTACGCCCAACGTCCCGCTGAGTCAATCAACAGCTTCAGTACTCTGGTCAGGCGATTCACGGCGCAGTATGCAACGAGCCGGCCTCACCACATCACCTCAGCCGCCCTGGCCAGTCTCAGACAGAACGACGACAAACCACTTCGGGCATTCATGGAGTGATTTGCCACAACCTCGGTCAAGATCAGAAATTTGAATCCCGAGGTCGCCCTGCATGCCATGCTCATGGCACTCAAGCCTGGGCCATTCGTCTACAGCCTATGTCGTGAGGCTCCTCGCGACATGGACGAGCTCCGCAGCTGAGATACAGGCTACATCCAGATGGAGGAACACTCCGCATTCCGTGATCAGGTTCGTGGAAAGGGACCAATGAAGCCAGAATAGGGTCACAAGGACATATAAAAAAATTATTTAATAATAATAAATATATATCATTTGATATACGAATTAAAATTATAATATACTACCATATAAAATGAACTTCATGTATTTTTTAAATAAAATAAAATCAGAGGCTAATAATTAGAGGGTGAAAATTGTTGAATGATTGTAATTCTAACGGTAGGTTTTTTTTGCAGTTTTAAAAATTAAAAGTATATAAAAAAAAAATTTAAAATGATGAAAAATCAAACCCCAAGCGTGTGGTTCAACGGGTAGGAGTTGATCCACGCTTAAGCAAGGTCAGGGATCTCATCCTTTGAGGTGGCTCCAACCTAGCGAGGAGATTAGTCACCGCTATCAGCGGTGGATACTTCAGGGACGAACAAAAAAAAAATGAAAAAACAAAGAATACTTTAAGAGATAGTTATAGGGACAAATTTGTCCAAAAAATATGTATATTAAAGGGGTTGATACCCTTTATTATTAGTAAGTATAAATGAAATCAATAGGTTAATAATTATATAATTTTAAAACATTATATATACTAATGAAAATGAAACATTCATGTCTCATCATAAAATAATGAAAAATAAAATAAAATAAACAAAATAAAGAAAATATGTAGTTAAATTTAAAATAGTGGAGTAGCTAAACAATTTAGTTAAAGGGTAAAAATGTATTTTAATAAATTAATTAAGGGATAAAAGGATCCAAAAAAATGTTGAAACCAAAATAAAGTATCTAGTTTATTAATGTTATAGATATATGTTATTGTACTATCCGTACTGCAAGGCCGAGCTCCCAGCTCGGCATCGCAGCGCATAACGACCTCGGATACGCGCTACGTGACGTCAGCTCGTCACTTAACCAGATCATAATTGATCTGAGGAGATCTTGGTCCAGACGAGATCCTCTATCTAATTAGATCACAACTGATCTTAGGCCCAAGGCCCAACGCAACCCTAATCCATACTAAGGTACGTGCATTACTTATACGAGACATACACTCATACAAACCCTAACTTTAGCATCGGAGTCTCTTTTGCAGGTACCACCCCCATCTTGGAACATCAAGCGTACCAGCGAAGGAGGCTCACCAATCTTACTCGGCGGATCACCTCTACGGCAAATCTCCGGTAAGAACATTTGGCACCCACCGTGGAGCCGATCAAGACAGCTCTTATCGGCCACGCTTATGGTATTCACTAGAAGCCATAGCAGACACGCAACAGACGACGCAGATCACTCAACTACCATGGACAACGAAGCCACATTGAGGAGATTGATCGACCAGGTCGAACAGATGCGGCAGCAACATGACGCCGATCTGCGAAACATGCGTGCCCAACACGAAACTTACCTAGCGGCGATGCGGGCCGCCAATGAAGCTGATCTAGCGGAGCTACGCGCTGAAAACGAGCGGATTCGCGCCCAGCTCCCTCGACGCCCCTCTGATCATCCTCCTGAGGCGAGCAACCTCCACGAGGAAGAAGGAAACTCGGTCTTTCAGCCCCGAACTGCGACTAGGGCACCGACTCCACGACCTGCCGCGCATCGATCTCATGTTCTAACGAACAAGTCGGCCGATGAAGTCAGCAAAGCCCCAACTCATGTCACAAGGGGTCAGGCAACCTTCCGCCATCATCCCTTTGTGGACGGCATCATGGAGACACCACTCCCTCAGGGGTGGAAGCTTGTCCACCTCGATCACTATGATGGCATGATGTACCCCGATGAGCACATCGACCTGTATACGACACAGGTGAACCTCTACACTAACAATGACACTATTTTATGTAGGGTTTTTTCGACCTCATTGAAGGGGGCCGCGCTCAACTAGTACGCCCAACGTCCCGCTGAGTCAATCAACAGCTTCAGTACTCTGGTCAGGCGATTCACGGCGCAGTATGCAACGAGCCGGCCTCACCACATCACCTCAGCCGCCCTGGCCAGTCTCAGACAGAACGACGACAAACCACTTCGGGCATTCATGGAGTGATTTGCCACAACCTCGGTCAAGATCAGAAATTTGAATCCCGAGGTCGCCCTGCATGCCATGCTCATGGCACTCAAGCCTGGGCCATTCGTCTACAGCCTATGTCGTGAGGCTCCTCGCGACATGGACGAGCTCCGCAGCTGAGATACAGGCTACATCCAGATGGAGGAACACTCCGCATTCCGTGATCAGGTTCGTGGAAAGGGACCAATGAAGCCAGAATAGGGTCACAAGGACAAGGTCAAAGTCAATAATGACAACCAGTTCAAGAAGTCGGCTAGGGCGAACAGAGGGGGGAGATATGACTTCTACACTCCCCTGAACACGCCTCGAGTACATATCCTGGAGGAGGCCAATAACAACAACCTGCTTACCCTACCACCGCCAGGTCACACCCCCAA